GCTGTCTTAAGACAAATTTTTGCATATTTAACAATTACAAACCTGTTTTCAAATAGTAACCAACACAGAATGAGACACCCTACTATCCTAAATTATTTTACGAAAATGAAAGTCTGTTTATGCCTCAGTAGGTAAAGTATCACAAAACCACCCTAATTGTAGACAGATGTAAAGAAACTGCCATTTAAAAAAGAAGGGAATCTTGACTAACTGGGAAGGCAGCAGGACTAAAAGCACAGTTTAGACCAGAAGGCTGGAGAGGAGCAAGGATTAGTTTTTCAGCCTGTGCTGACCTGCCTCCTGAAAGCAGTCCCATAGACCCCAGAAAGCCTCCTTACTGTGGAGCTAATAGCCAGCCTAAACACAGCTGCAAAACTTCAAAGAAACTTTTTTTTTTTTGGTAGCACAAAGTCATTGAGCTCAGAACTAAATTCCTACCAAAAAATTACCAAAATAATCTAAAAAGAGGAATTCCGATGATAGAATGTCTAAAATATAAATTCAGAGTCCCTATATTTCACCTTGTTTCCTTCAATTCACAGAAAGGCAGCTGGCTGTGATGGACAGCTTATGGTGTTACTCTGCTTTGCTACACGGAAGATGGAGCAGGTTAGCTGGACTGCAGGAGCCGTGCCAGCTCCAAGAGACAGCATAATCAACCCTTGGCAAAACCTGCCTCATCGCTCAGCCCAGTGTCTGCCAGCCAGAACCCCACTGCTCGAGGGATGGTAACATTAAGGAAAGACTTTCTGGAGGGGAAATTAAAATTCAGAAAAGAAAATAAGACAGTGATTTTTCTGGGGTTCATCAAGATTACAAAAGACTTATTTTCTCTCAATCCGCCAGGAAATGCAAAATTTTAAATAAACTTGGGATTTGTTTCATTTGGATGCTTTAAATGATTCCTTTGAGCCTGTAAGGCCTATGGTCCCTGAATAGACTTCTGCAGCTGCTGCACCTAATTTCATTTTGGCATGGAAAGAGGCTAGGGCATGTCTGTGCAGTGCAGCCTCGCTCTTCTCCCTCAAGCAGGAGCTAGCATCATGATTCAATAAAATTGAGAAGTGCCTTTCATCACCTACATTTGTACAGAGTGATTACAACTTCAAACAGAACGAACAGAAGTAAAGAAAGCAGAGCACTGTTTACAGGGTGACAGCTGACTGGCAGGCAGAAATATAATTATGGATGATAAAAAAGGGAAAATAGAAATGCAAACTATTGATTTCTCGGACTAATATAGAGCTCTGTTCATGATGTTGATCAACAAGGCATGTTCACTCATGATAATCCCAGGGGACTTTGTAGTATTCACATGTCACTTAGGACAGTGAAGGTTAAAGGGACTTATTTTTCCCCATCCTTGTTTTTCTTGTGTTCGAAATATATTTGAAAAGAACTGCTGTCTGAAATAGATACAGGATTTCAGGCTCTAATGTAAATTGGTAAACATATTGTCATAATAAAAATCAAAGCAAAGCAATCACCCGCAATTCAAAATCCCCAGCATTATCTTGGATATAGGCATGAAAATATGAACTCTGCCAAGCTGTTTTAGCCTAGTGCAGTGTAAAAAGCAATTTAATATGGATCACAGAGAAGTCAGAAACCAAGACACTGCTGATCCAGAGATCAGCAATCACTGTCAAAGCAGACAAAGCTGCTGTTTCATAGTTCTTGGCCTCTTCTGCATTGGACTGCCATCCAGCACCTCCCTCCCCAGCTATCTGGAATTCGCTTCTGGTTAGAAGGAGGGGTGGCAGACCTCCCCCCCGCCCCCTGTCAATCCATGACACCTGCCTTGAGAAGATACAGAAAGGGCTCGCCAGTCAGTTTAGGAAGAGACAGATAAATCGTGTGAGGGAAGGTTCACACATATTTTGTTTAAAGTCTGTTAAATATATCTAAACTCTGACAGATTAATGGTTTGCTCAGTTCTCACTCCCCATGAACAAAAGAAAGATGCTGAGGAGCAGTAGAGCACCCTGCACTCTTCCACAGACTCTCAGACATTCTCTCCCAGCAAGAATAAGTGAAGAGAACATACTTTCAAAGTTTAACCTGCAAGGACAATTCACATCTTTCCCCCATCTGCTCACCTAGTAGCATCTATAGACAATACCAGTTTTCAACTCATTTAATATCTGTAGCATTGTGTTAAAAAAACAGTTGTGAGTTCTTGGATTGGGCCTACAAAACGTGGGTCTCTGCAACTGATGGCAATCAAGCACTTCACAGCATTTAGTTTCTAAGAACACAGAAGGCCAGATACACTGCAGAATACAACCAGAGATAAATACCCTCTCCTACTGAAAATCAGGAGCTTGAACTCTAAAGAACTAACTTACAACTCGAAGAGCATTATTTTGCAAGATTATCTGCCCTGATTAAATAACATTTCAAAAACCAGAAGAATTAAGCCTTCAAGATTGCAGGCAACAAGCAAAATCATCTATGTCTACAGGATTCAATCACATCCAGCATCTTACTCTTCCCTCTTCTGTCCTTGCAGGATTTCATGGTGCTGCAAGACAGCTTCACCCTGCAGAGCAGCAAGGGGAGCAGGTTCACAAAACCACAGCAGAATTTAGCAGTAGAAATGTCGGGAACAAAATTCACCCAGCAAGCCCACTAGCTGGAGGCAAAACAAGCTTTCTATCTGGGCAAAGGCAAATTCAGAATGCCAAAAAGCAGCACCTACTCAGTGCTGGACTGCAAAGATGTGGCCTACGGAGGCCAGAAAGAGAAAAAGGCACACAAAGTGACTTTACATGACTTCAAATTCTATGGAAAAACTTCTTCATCCATCTAGTTTCTATGCACAGCAGTAACTTCAGGAACCTGTTGTTAAAAAAAAACTTCATCAACTTTTACCACTTCAAACAATAATAGCACAAGATTCCCTTTCAGGCTCTAAACTCATGAGTTTCCTTCTGAACTTTAGGAAATTCAGGGCAAAAACTCTTTGAGTACCTATAAAATCTCAAGTAATGCATTCCTTTTTCCTGGAGGGCCTATCTTAAAATGTCTCTGATAATGCCAAGAGTTGATGTTTCTTTCTCTGAACAGATGGTAGCCACAAAGGCAGTATTAATGCACAAGTGAAGTGCACAAGTGAAGTAATGGTATCTCGTAGAAAAGCTCAAATGGACTTGCTGTAAAGCAGAACTAGTCATGCTTTAGAGAAAAGTGGTTTGCATCTTTACTTTATGTAAATAGGTGATCACGAATCCTTTAAGATCTAGGTGGAAACCCACACATAAAACATTTAAACCCCACTCCTCATAATATAGTCTTGAAATCCAGTATGTTGGTTTTCTAATACTTCATGTTTTGTAAATATACTTATAGAGACATTTAAGAGTTTATACTTTTCAATTAGCCCTAGTTTTGAGCAGAAATTTGATGAATAATTTATTTTCAACTACGAACAGCTCACGTTCAGAATCAAGCATACCACCTCTTACTCAGCCACCAAATTATTCTGAATACTTTGTGACCTACACACTGTGGGGAAACAGTTTATTGGAGCTATTAAAGTTGCTCTGCCTTTATTCGTAAACTGTAAGAATTTTTGGCATAAATATAGTGGCAAATTCAGAACTTAACCCATGAATTCATAATGAAACCCAGAGGTAGTCTGTTTCAGCTTTATAAAAAAATTTGGGCAGAACTAAGTCCAAAGTCTTTTCTGATCACGTAAGACGTGAAACTGAAACTAAGATAAAGAGCCAAAGCTGTATAGCTTCATGGTCTTCTGAAATGACAACTTCATGTCAGTCTATGCTGTATAGTGTTTCCATCTTCGTCTGATATAGTGACTAGCATTAAATAATACAGCCTTTTTCTGTTACTGCCTAAAATCAAGTACATTATACAGCATGCAATATACATTTGTATCAGTGATAGAGAGTAACACAAATAGTCTGCTGCAAACTCTGTTAAAAGAAATGGCAAGCACTGTTTTTATGCACCTTAATTGTGCTGGCTATATAGGGAGCTTTTCCTCTTTTTCCATGCCTGATAATCTGCATTGCAGCTATGTGGCTTTTTTTTTTTTTTCCCCCTCCTCAAAGCTCTTTGAAAGAACGGACATTACTTAAAATAAGGAAAAAGTAATGATCATTCTAACACAATATACTGGTAACCAAGTCTGCTAAAATACGGATTGGCATAGATCAGAAACAAAGGAGCATATTTTGAACATATTGCTACCTGTAATCTACAGTTTGGAATATTTATAAAAAGAGCAGATATTTTGTATCAGATTCTTCGTTGTGTTTGAGTTTTTGTTTGTTGGGTTTTTTTCCCCCCTTTCCAACTGTAGTCTTTGCTTTTTTGGTATAATGTACAAAAAAATTGTCATCTGCCCAACTGGAACAAAAAAATATTGCTGCCTTTGATGAATACCATTAAGTACTAGAGAGTTCTATAATGATGCTACTGTCGTATATATATTTGTCTATTAAAATCTCTTAGCGTTGACAACAAAGATCAGTTGATTATAGCTCGTTCATTTTGTGATATTGTATTAATCACACCAACTGTTCTACAGGCTGAACTTCTAATTATCATAAGGTACACCTGCAAAAATGCGTATCTCTTCTTTCTTTTCCTTGAAACAAGCTCTACTACGATTCCCCCTAGCATACAAAGCAAATACAAATTTCAGCATTTCTTGCCTGTATTAAGAGATTAATATAGTGTGTGTTATTCACCTAGGAAACCTTCCTTTTTCTGCTTTAGCAATTAAGATTCCTGCCTCTTACTGACTTGAGTGAGGAATAATCCATTACAACTGCACAAAACAAAATTGTACTGCTCATTTCTGCCAATCGCTGCAAATCCAATTCTGGAATTCCATCACAAATCTTTCAAGTTTGTTAGGTATTTAGTCTAAGATTAGTGTAAGACCTCTCTGTAAATAAAAAGCAGCAGTCTACACCCTGCAGTGACTGAACGACCGACTGAAACAAAGGGAGGAGAAGAAATTGCCATACCGGTGAACTCCGCTGTTGCACATAATGATGTGACAAGCTCCAAGCCTGCTACAGAGCTCAGAAGACACTGAAAGCAACCCAACTCCGGAAGCACTGCACGCCGTGTACGCGCAGGCAGCGGTGCGCTTGGATCGGATAAAGGACCCTATCAGTCGGTAAAGTTCATCCAAGCAATTGAGAGGCCTCATCAGCTGCAAGAGAGGAAGAGAAAGAGATTTAAGTATTTGCTACTGAGCGCACATGAAATGCTTTTAGAGCCGGTCACCACAGATGCAGACGGAATGGCAGGGCTGGCTGAGAAAGCCGAAGCCAAATTCCGTAACATAAATACAGAGCACACGGTCTTCTGTTACATGACCTATGCCAACTTTTTCAAACTTTTGAATTCTTACTGTTTCATTGGCAGTTTTTCATTTCAGTTAACTGAATAGGCCCATCAGTGCCATTTCCATTAATGGTATTGCCAAAAAAGGACAACCACGAAGAGGCAACCTACAACTGTAGGTGCATACAGGAGGGATGCCAAGACTGGTTAATTGACTCGCTGAGAAAATCAGCTTATCATTAAGAAAACACCATCGTTTATTTATACAAATGTCTAGCTCCTAATCCTGACTGACAACATGGAAAAATATAAATTAACAGAAGTGACAAAAACATACTACAAAACAAGAGCAGTTAACTTTGTAGCAGGACTTAAAATAACGTCAGCATTACCGTACCGAAAATAAATGATCCACCTAGTAAAGAAGGCAGCTTCAGGTGGAAGGCTGCTCTCAGAAGAGGAACCTTCAAAAGCTGTCTAGCAATGGAAAGTAAGATGGTTTTGCAGACCTCATAATACCAAATCCCCCATTCTCTTAAAGATTCCAACAAACCCCTCCGTTACTCAAAGAATGCAGCTTTTGAAAGACAGATTCATTCCCTAAAGACAGTTTTAACTGATTAGGGAAATGACCGCCTCACTTGCTCCTATATGAAGGTTACTTCATTGGAAAGCATAGAGGTCAAGTAAATCAATTATAACAATCAGCATATTTAAACCTGATCACAAACAGATTTAACTTGGTTTAGGTCCTATTGCTTTAACTTGCATCCATTTAAATTAAACTGGTGCCATTTACTAATGCAGAGCTCTGAAGAACAGAGCAAAAGTCATGGCCACAAACTAAGATCATGCACTCACTCTTAGCTTGCTCCAATTGCAAAGTAAGCGCATTAGCTTAACCTAGCATCCCTTGGTCAGATCTGAATTCTGAGATGCTTTTATCTTGCCCTTGAACTTTTCACTGCAATAGATAGGGAACAGGTTTAGGGGTAACAAGCCCCCCGCATATAGCTAAACATCTCCTGCTGCACTTAGAAAGTTAAGCTGCTGACTCACCAGGGAAGGAGAGGCACAGGCACATCCCCTCCTCCCTGCCCATGCAGTCCAGCACAGATCCAAGAAACAGGAACTATCAGTCTGCTAACACCCATGCTGGATGATAGTGAGGTAAAATTTTAGTCTGTCATAGGGCTCAGCTGATGATTGCTGTATTTCTCAAGCCACAGTAGCTCAATCACTTTTGAAGTCAGTGTAGGCAAGACCCTAGGAACTTTTTTTTTCCCTTACTGGGCTGCAATATGGGCATTAACCCTCGAACAATAGGAGACAGCATTAAATGAATTTTCATAGCCCCTGGGATCTCTCAGTCACAGAGGTTTAAAGACAGGCATTGGCATTTGAAAAAAGCCTAAATGAGGAGGTTCAGAAGAAAGCCTTCTGAGCAGGATGCTGAAGAAGTATTTAATTTGGAATAGTGCTTTCAATTTTCAGAACAAAGAATTTCTGCCTGCACCTGCTCTCCCCCAACATGCTCCTGGTGCAATTGCATTGCTCTGAAAGCACACTGAAGAAGGAAAGCCATGGTTCCCTTTCCCAGATACTTTGATGCCCTCCAGCCACACCTTTTCATACAGAACTACACTGGCAGCACATACCCCTAAAACACAGGTGGAACAAAATGCTGGGAGAGAGCTCTCCCCCCACCCCCGCAGGCTTTAAATAATTCAACTTTTCGATGGAATTAAGAAAGCCTCAGGAAAGGATTACAATAACACAGTGTGTAACATGCAAAGTTTAATTAGGCACTTAGCATTTTTATTTACCTTATCTATATAAGCCGCTTTAGATGTTGAATTTGGAGGCAAGTTCGACTTGTCCAGGTAGAATGCCCTGAGAGAACAAACAGAATAAGACAAAACCTGTTAATTTGTTTGAACTCCTGAACAAAATATATGTAGGTGACTGTTAGATACCAACCTAAGGTTGGAATTTTTAATTTCATGATAAGAGAGGATCAAGGAATAATACATGGGTAAATAGCCACTAACACTCTTCCTTTTAAAGTAATAGGGAACATTTTTCTTGTTCTGGAGACAAACTGTCCCTCTGCCCTATGAAAATACAGTGCAAAATTTTAATCTCTAGTTAGCAGAAAAACTGGATCTGAAAATTATTTTCACCAAAGGTTTGTAGCAACCACCTAGATTTTAGTAGTGACTTTGGGAAACTTGGCATGTAAACAGTGCCTGAGCCTCATGTGTTACAACCTTTTTTTATATTAGCTGTCTATAACTGCACTAATATCAGAACAGAATCCCAAACATGAAACGTGGTACTGACAGAGGAAAACATACACCAGCTCACAATATAAAAAGAAACAAAAAAGCAAAAACCCTACAAGGGGCAAATATACATCATACAAGCAAAATGACATTTGCAATGTGTGCACCCATGCATGCATGCGTAAAGAGAAACAAACTGCCTTTCTTTACAATTTCTGCACACTACTTTGAAAGGAAAAGCCAAAGAAAGCTGTCTTTTACCCACAGAACACAAATGTGATAGAGCAAGCATACTTACTGTATCAGGTTTCTCTCCTTTGTACTAAAGCTCATCAACCCACATTCTCCCAGTTCCTTCTATAACCTCTCATTTATCAATGAATAGGACCATAACATATAAAACAGAGAAATGCAACATGTGCTGTTTTAAAAGATAAACGTTTGCTAATTTCTGTCTGGCACAAAGGGGGCCAATATTTTGTACAGAGGACCTCCATGCTATCCTTCTCTCCTAAAAAAATAGGATATAAGAATAAAAAAAATTTCTCTTATTCAACACCAGAAAGGAAAAGCTTTAGCAAAGAGCACACAGGAAGCAAAGAGCTCGTCCGTCTCCTTCAACTCAGGAACCCTAGAGGAATTTTTTTTTCTTTCTACCTTATAAGCAAATTAATCGCTTACCACAGATGAGCTATCATTAAACATCTCATAGACAGAGGAAATATATTGCATATATCTGTGATAAGACCGCAGTTTCTCTGCCTCTGCAGCATCACTTAAGAAAAAAAAAAACCACATTGTCCCCGCCCATGGCAGGGTGGTTGGATTAGACAGATGATCTTTAAAGATCCTTCCAACCCAAACCATCCTGTGATCACAAAACTCATTCTGCTAGTTGAAAAGATCCTAAAACCCACTGGGGTAGCTGGAAATGGAAACACCTAGTAGCTTCCCTGGCTGGATAAGGTATCCAGTGAGAACCAGGCAACAGCTACCACTGCAGCAATTCTGGCCAAGGCTAAAATAAAACAAGAAAAAACACCACTGAACCATGGAACCTATAGGACAAAACTAGATTCTCCATTGGAAATCTCAAGGTATCGCTACAATCCTGCTCCAATGGAGTGTGGCAACCAAATTTCAATTGCAATAAAATATGAAAATAAACTCTGAAAAGAACTCATGCTTGCATCCCAGCTCTCAAATGGCAGGATCATCTGGACTTCAGTCATGAAAACGTTGATTCATATAACATACATGGATGAAAATCCCTCTCCCTGCTTTTTATGGTGTTATCTGTGAGTGGATTTACTCACATAGTTCACAGAATCACAGAATCGTAAGGGTTGGAAGGGACCTCAGGAGATCATCTAGTCCAACCCCCCTGCTAAAGCAGGCTCACCTAGAGCATGCTACACAGGACTTCATCCAGGCGGGCTTTGAATATCTCCAGAGAAGGAGACTCCACAACCTCCCTGGGCAGCCTGTTCCAGTGCTCTGCCACCCTCAGAGTGAAGAAGTTCTTCCTCATATTCAACTGAAACCTCTTATGTCTCAGTTTGCATCCATTACCCCTAGTCCTGTCGCTGGACACCACTGCAAACAGACTGCTTCCGTCCTCTTGACTTCCGCCCTTAAGATATTTGTATGTGTTGATGAGATCCCCTCTCAGTCTTCTCTTCTTCAGGCTGAACAAGCCCAACTCTCTCAGCCTTTCCTCATAGGGGAGGTGCTCCAGTCCCTTTATCATCCTAGTAGCTCTCCTCTGGACTCTTTCTAGGAGTTCCTCGTCTTTCTTGAACTGGGGACCCCAGAACTGGACACAGGACTCCAGGTGGGGTCTCACCAGGGCAGAGTAGAGGTACTCTACTCACCAGGGCAGAGTAGAGGGCAGAGTTACGTACTTGCAGGGCAGGGGTGCAGACTGCAGATTTGAATAACATTTTATTCTTATAATCTGGAATAACTGAGCTGATAAAAAAATGCAGCCACCTTTAATTCTAGTAGGTTTTGCTTCCCACAGCTTTGCAGTTCTGAAAATCATCTTCTCCCAAGTTTAGGGTTTGAATTAATCTCCTCAGAAAGTGCAGCAAAGCTAATCCAGTTCTGTTATGCCATTAAGCCTGTTGCACCATCCAGAATGTACTCTATGTCAAAGGAAGCTGGAGACTATTGGAAGGAAAAGAGGTTTGCAGAGAAAATTACTCATAAATCACTTTGAGCAGCCACAGCACGTAAAAGCTACCTCAGCAGCAACAGACCAACCTTTTTCTTTCTTAGCAAAGCTAAAAAACAAAGCATCACCTCGCCATCCACTGAACATTATCAGACTGAAAGCCTATATTGTTTTTTCCTGCCATGCCACAGGAAAATCTGCTTCATTCAGAGTCTGTTCAGCACTCCCACTCTCTTTGGACTGTTATTTCAGCAAATTCAGCTGCATTAAATGAAACCAGAAACCAAATATAGAACAGTACACACATTAATGGAGTACATGGAAAATAATCAACTCTGGGTACAAAATGAAGCAACATGGACACTAGAATGGGATATACAATTATAGGAATTACTCCATTAATTCAGTCAATTATTCATTAACCTAAAGAACAAACAAAAATCAACTATACACAACATTAATTTTAAATATCAAAATATCCTGTTACAAATGAAACTATTCCCCCCCACCCCCATCAGATAACACTCCCAGATGTTTCTTGAGTGCTTTATTTTTATTGCTTTTCATAAAAATTGTCTTCAGTATTTTACAGAACATGACAAACTGTGGACAGCATATAAATTTCCAAAGCACTTCACTTAATTACTAAATGCTTGTTAAGGTCCTTAATCATATTTTATGGGAAAAGTTAATGGCAATCTTGGCATGGTGCCCAATTTGGACAGTATTTTCTAATCCATTTGAAATGAACAAGAATGAAATCATAGTTCTTTGTCTGCAAATGTGATGCTGGTTTTGCTTCTAAAAGCCTTACAATTTCTCTAAGCCATAACAGAAAAGCCTTTTGTTAAAAAAAAAGGCAGAAAATCCAATAGGCACTAAAACTACAGGGGATTATTGCAGTGTTCCACTTTTGTAAGATATCCCCTCTGTAACAATGTCAAATAACAGGACAAGTATCTCGGGGAAAACTTACCCTGCAATGAGGTAACAAACATCTTAGGATTCAAAAAGAAAAACCTATCTAAAAGATGAATGCTTTCCTAAGATGTTTTCCCAGAACTTGAGTATAAAGGAGATACAGAAGTATTGATGTCTTCTTAGTGACACATTTTACAGGGTACCCTCCAAAACTGACCCAAACATGTAAAATCCTGAAAATTTGAAATATTGGGAATTGAACCCTAAGGAGGCTCCAAACCTGTAGAGACACACGTTCCTGAGTAACTTTGTACGTGCAAATAATTCAAGCAAAGCCAAGTTTCTAGTCTTACTTTCAGTCTGTTGTTCCAGGAAGCCCATAGGGTCATCCTAGATGTTGATCATCGTTTCTTCAAAATGCAAGGACAGTATAGAAGTGACTGGCGTGGGGGAAAGGGGGCAGGGCAAGTAATTGGGTTATAGCATTAAATAAAGGCAAGTTGAGGGTTCTGCTCTAGAAAGGTTTTGCTTTGATGTTATAGCAGAAAATAATTTAGTCTTTTACATTTTCTTCATCACTGTGGCATACATATAAATGAATTCATATTGTCTTCAACAGAAGGATGGAAATATATTTTAATTCTGCTTGATTTTCAATCCCTTGGGCACAAGATATTCAAGATCATGTAAATAAGCATGGTCAACAACATGGCAAAGGAAGTGATAGAATTAGTACCCCTAATCCTTTTCTTCAGCTCAAACTACAAAGCATCTATTTATGACATAGACAAATAATATCTCTGTGTATTTGCGTATATATGCACACAGACTTTTGTATTTCTTTAATAATAATTCTGTGTTCTGCCATCTGGTTGTTAACTATATAGGTGAGCACGTCTATAGTGTGCATATTATATATATACATACACACACATTTGGAAATATATTTTTATATTTTGTATATATAAATTCAGTTGTTTCTGTAATACACAGTATCCATTACAGAAAACTGTTTGCTGTCACAGCAAACAAATCTAAAAGTGTTTTACATGTTCTTTCCACTAAATTGTAAGTCTGAATAACCGATAAATTACCAAGTACAATTACCCTCTCAGCCCATACTAAGACCTAGTGATTTTAAATTATGTGTCCTAAAATCTATGTCAGTGATACAATCCTATGTATAGTGTCATTAGTAGTTAAAGATAGGTTTAATACTAACAAAAGAAAACCTCCATGACAGTATCATGATTTTAAATTCTCAAAAAGCATACGAAGTAATATTCTGACCTTTCACAACTATTGTGCAAACTGAAGCACAGAACAGAAAATCTTAACACCACGTGGCTCTGAACTTACCATGAGTAATTCATATTTCGTGTGTAAGCAACTCAGTAAGCCCTTCCTTTGTACTCGGCACTGGTGAGACCACACCTCAAATACTGAGTTCAGTTTTGGGCCCCTCACCACAGAAAAAAAATGTTGCGTTGCTGGAACATGTCCAGAGGAGA